AATAAGCAGTTTTGGTATAATGTAATGCCCAACCTATGCATATTTTATATTTCCGAGGATCTTTTGATAAATAAGTAGCACATTATTCCAATTAATGCTGAAATATCAATTTTTAAAGATATTGTAACCTTACCTTCCCCAGTATTGTGTACTAGCAACTAATCGACAGCAAATATCGATAAGCTAAGTGAATTATTACATAGATGTTTTTGGTAATGCCATTTTGAATATATATTTGAGAAAGCAAGGAAAAAATTTCCCCTAGCTCATGCTTAACTTATTTGGATGCAAAGAACAGGGAATAGCCATGATACTAGCAAGCTAATTCTAGCCAAATTTTTAAATAAACCCAGCATATGAATCGTGGAGAAATCGACTTATATATTGGGCATACTCTATAAGATACCCTAAAACCTATCAGTAACTGAAAGCCAAACAATTATAACCAAGGATAAGAAATAAAGCACATTAAATATAGTCAATATACGCTTATTTTAAATTAATGTAACATTTAAATAATTAATCATACTAAAAGGATATTTTATTTTTGTTTGTTAAGGCTAATCTACACTAGGACAGGTGATTTCGCACCCTGGCGCTGTTCGATCTCTTCTGGTCGTCTTCTTGTCCGTATATTTTCACTATTAATTAGAGTAGGCAATAAATACCACTTTTTTCCATTATTACCATTCTAATTTTAAAAGTTAAATTTATTTATTCATTTTCACTTTATTTTAAAAATTTAAATACCAACATAATTTCATAAAAATTAACAAGTTGTAGCATCCACAATGTCTTCTAATTTTGGTTTACAATTTTTACCTTTAGTTATAGATTTAAGATGCTTAGACTTGCAGAGAAATTAAGGCAACGGAAGTCGGGCGAGGCATCTATTGAATCAGATGACGCAATGTCGGCATCAGTTAGAAATGCAAACATTAGGGATCGACTTCTTCTTCAGGAATTAGAAGACCTAAAAAACAGTCTTTCTTCAGAATGCAGTCTTCATCATCCTGATCCAGATAAGCTGCACGAAATGTCTTTGCATGTCCTTCCAAAAGAGGGATTTTGGGCGGGAGGATCTTTTTGCTTCAAAATCTCTGTTCCTGAAACCTATAACCACTCTCCACCTTCTGTTAGATGCCTTACTCCAATTTGGCATCCTAATATTGATGAAGAAGGCTCAGTCTGTCTCAGCCTTTTACGTCAAAGTTCACTTGATGCCTCTGGATGGGCTCCTACTAGGCAGATCCGAGATGTAATTTGGGGAATCGAATCTCTTTTTAGTGACCTTTGTGATTTCAATGATGCCTTAAACACTGCTGCTGCAGAGCAGTATCAGCGTGATCCAGACTCTTTCAAGCAACAAGTTTGCCGTTTTATCCACAACTATTCTCATGCGTCACCTTGAATATATAAATGGCATTACTGCTTTTTTAATGTAAAGACTTCTTTACTGATCTTTCATGTGTATTAAATGTCCTCCGAAGATGTATTTCTTTTGTAAAAAATCATTACTCTATGGTGTTGCTGCATGTGCATGCAATGAGGCTTTCGGTACTTGCTAATTCTTTGTTTTTCATATCTTTTTTTGGTTACTTATTGGCCATAATGCGTAAAGCAAACTTCATTTAATTTTATGCTAGAAATGCTTTTGAAACGAGTCTTGTTGAACATCAGGGTTTTTACCCTAAAAAATGGCACAATGAGACTGAAAACCAGTGGTATGCCATATCTCCCTTAAAATATTTTTTTTTAGAAACCTCGTCTAAACCACCTTTTAAGAAGGAGCAGCTTTTGAAAGAAGGTGCATCTAAACAAACTCTAAAGACGGAACACTCTTCCGCTAACGTTGTAAATGTGGCCTATCAAAACGATGAATATTTTAAACACAATACTTTCACATTTTATGATATGGAACTAACGTTAAAACCACATAGACTTCCTCAGCCACGTTGAAGTAGCAAAAACTAGTTGTTGAGAGCTATAAAGCTATTAAAATAGATATGTATTTTAGTTATCCTTGCTTTTTAATTGGCAACTTTACATAAATATTTCCATATTCGTATATAACTATTTTTTATTAAGCTATATACATGGCTCTTGAGTTATTGGAACATAGAATTTCTGAACTCGAAAAACTCGTTTACGGCGGCACAAAATGTTTTGATGAAAATTCCGTCAAAGAAGTATTCCTATTGAATAATGACTTTCCTAGACCATTTTTGTGCAACTGGATCGAATGCACCGGACACTTTTGTTAGCTGAAAAACGCGGAATAGTGGCCCGCATTTTGGCTAGGGGTAAATATCATTATAATTGCATTCTTTTAGTTAATGAAATACAGAAATATATAGCTCCAAATTTTCTGGATGCTGAAATTCTTTCGAATGAAGCCAAAGTGAAACTTATACTCTCAGGTAATCTTTTCTAAAATTTATTATCTCTTTAGAAAAATCACAGATCGAAGAAGCTGCTTTAGCTTTCGAGAAAATATCAAAACTGGTTGATTATCTAAACCATCCTGCCTTTGCTGGTAAGTTCATCGCAAGAACTCATAATTATTTGTAAACTTGATAGTAAATATTCTATATATTTGACCGATGCATCTGTTGAAGATTTTTTTCATCTTAGAAATATATGAAGATAGATTAAGCTTCTATCAGCTCTAGTTTACTTTTTAGTCCAGTGCCTTGTAAGTAAACTTAGCTCTAACCTAAATTTAATCACATCTGTTGGAATGGCTACAAATCGAGTTAATTTCAAAGCTAAATCATCATTCTGATATTTTTGCTGGATTTAAAGTGGCTATTAAAGTTTGGTCCATATAAGCTTTAAACATGATTATTGAGCTTGCTTGTCGGTGAAGCATATTTTTAATCGAAAGTTATATTACGCAGTTAATAGTATTGGTATGGTTGGGCCTTTATCACTTAAGGTTCATACCAAATACTAGCACTATATACTTAAGTGATTACCC